TATATATATATATATATAGATGGATAGATATTGGTCAAAAACTAATCTACTTTTATAAGAAATTCATTTACTGGGCATTTACATACATACCCCGCAATTCTTATATATTTACATATCTAACACCTAAACTTTTGTATTAACAAACATAACAATTAGCTAATTTTTAATACTGAAGTGTTATAAATGTAAATATCAGATTTTGAGTGTCGGATATGTAAATTTATAAGAATTGTGTGGTATGTATGTAAATATTCCTTCATTCACTCGCAAAGTTCTTTTTTCTTCTTACCCGTTGATTATTCTTTTATATCATAACATTTAGTCCCCTCTTAACAATCAAACTAATTAAGCTTATATCATAATTCTTTTATATCATGAGACTAATTTTTTTATATTTATACTTTAACAAGTCATGTATAATTCATCACCGCTAAATCATCCAGTTTATATATTTATTTTTTATTTTTAGAAAATGAGCATGATATTGTTATGAATTATATGTTATTTAAAATATAAAATATAAAATATGTTTGATAGGATATTTTTATTTTTTAAAAAGAAAAAACATTATACTTTTAATATAACGATTGGGCTCACGTGTGTTCAAACATTAAACTCTGCCGCCGATGACGTAAAGAAGTATTCCTTACTCCACCCACGAAGCATTACCTATGGGCAGGCAAGCGGCGGGTGCAGGGCGGGCAAGGATCAGCGGCCGACAGGGTAGCCTTACACAAGAAATGCTTCGAAAAAACATGTTTTCTTTGTTTCTAATGTTTTTATAAACAAGTCTTGTGTCCTTTAAAAATAAAATTAAAAAATAGAAATTAAATAGACACACTATTTTTGAATTTGTTACGATGCTTAAGTGTATAAGCATTAACCACCTTCAGATTTTAGATGATTTAAATGCATAACACCTAGTCATTATGTATTATATATATTTAACATCTAAACTATGAAATGTTTATAATCATATAGCACTTGAAAATTTTCAATTTAATTCGACCGCATTGAGCTTACATCACAAGCAAAATTATTCTTAATAATTATATAAAAAATTTTCTTGAATTGAGAAATAAAAAGACGCCAAAAATCCATAAAATTTGATCCGATTGAGGGAGTTTGGGGTAGCTGCAGCTTATTGAATAATCTACTGATAAGCTAGGTGCGATAGCTATTGCAAATTTTTATTTTTTTTTGAAAAATTAAACTACTGCCAGAAAGCCGCCACGACACCTAAATAGATTCGGTCTGAAAACGCTATTTTCAACGTTTTTAAAACGCATAAGCTGCCAAAATACAATTTATCCAAACAGGTTAGATGTGTTTTCAAAACGCCACCGCACCAAATAAGCTGGCCCAAACGATGCCCTGAATCTCAAAATAATTTGATATATAGGGAATTTACATACACATCACACAATTCTTATCTATTTACATAATGAACCCCTAAACTTCAGCATGTATTTATTTAATACCAAATGCTCAGCATCATATAAAAATATCACCAAAACTAATTTTTTCCATAATAAAATACACATTTTCATATATATATTTGACATGATTATTGCACTAAACTGCTCATACAAACAAATATCAAAATTTAGATGTTAGCCCCCCAATTTAATTCATTTACAACATATGACATCCATCTCAAAACAAACCAAACAGCTTCAAGATCAAGCATTGATGAAGAAGACATCCTGAACCAAAAAGCTTTACTCATAGATGCAAGAATAAAACAGCAATTTTCAAAAATACCAACACAAGTTATTACACTTCAACCACATCCACAGTTTCCCTTACCTTACCAAAACTATCAACGATCAAAACAGGAACGCTCATGTGATCATTCTGCGATGTGTTGTTGCAGTCAAGGTTGAATGAGATATTGGTGGAAACTTGCACGCGAGGAGGAGCGGGCAGAGCTATGGTGGTGATCTCAGCAGTGTTGAATTCCACCAATTTGGTCGGTTTTCTAATCCTCTGAGGAATCACAGTTGGATCTCTCAACGAGCCGGCGCTGAAGAGAGCTCGTTCGTCGGCTGATCCTGATTTCCTTAGCGCTTGGAGCTCCTGCAACCGGTAATCGGTTTCCGGACGTCTGCATACCTTTCGCAACGGCACGATTTCCTGTGTTGAGAATCAAACAAATGAAATTCAAACTGAGGAGGTGTTTGGCTGAAACCCGTATTTTACGTTAAATTATTTTGTAAATCCGATAAATCATCCAGATTTACGTTGATTGAGATGTGCAACGGAATAAATGTTTAAATTTGCCTTGCAATTGGATTCAGTAAATTGGGTTTAGGTTGTAAATGAGAGCGAAGAATGTAGCTTATGGCAATATATATGAGAGGACAAAAGAAACTCAAAAGCTTCAAAAGATCCATTAAGATACCAAAGTTAGAAGAAAGCAGCAGTTGCAAAATCCTGGAAGATGGTAGGAAAATTGTATGTTGGCTAACATGTGTAGACTGGTTTAGTTACCGAAGCGTTTGCATGCATACCACCCAACTCCTATCTATTTATACATGTAACACCTAAACTTTACATTTTGTATTTTTGTTAAAATTCAAAATAATATGAAATATAATTATTGATATGAAACGGAAATATAAATAACCCTTACATGAATCTTAGAATAGGAAAGACAATAAAAAAATAAATAAAAGAAAATGAAAGGTACAATACCTATATCTCCAATTAATCAATTTATATTAATTACTCGGAGATAAAATAAGCGACATAAATATAAAATAAGAAAAGAAATAACTTGAATCCAAGAAAATAAATTTAATACTCATAACTTCTAACGAGAATAAATTATTTTCTATTATAACATCTAACAATCTCCCCTAAGTTGAAACATGGTTGAAATTTATGCTCAACTTGGATTTGAAAATATTAAACAATGAGCGAGAAATATTCTTTTTTAGGTGGAACTTAAAATCTTCATCCCGTACTGTTGACCTCATTTTTAGTGAGGTCTAGTCT